CAGGTGACAGCAACACATACAAAAAAAAAATTATACCTTCAGAGGCTAAAAGAACCACTGACAAAACTCAAAATCACAAAGCAGTTTGTATTGTGAAGTAAAAAGTTGTTCCCTTGTAACTGTTTATTTAGCGTAATCTTACCTGTGAATCCAGTGTCTTCATTTTGGTTACTTTTAGAGGATTTGAAGCACAATGTTAGTATCTGTGGATATGCTTTCCTTACTGCCTTTCAAGTTTTTTGGAACACATAATGATCATTAGAACTTGACAGTATTTTTCCCTCTTTTGCATGCTAGTTACTGTTCTTCTAATCTCTGGGTATTCCTTCCATTTGTTTTCTTTCCTAACTGCATTATCTGTATACTTTGGAAAATAATGAGATTCCTAATTGCCAGCATAATTAAAGACTGTTATCATTTGCCATAATCAGTATTCTGTTACCCAGTGTTGACTCTGCTCAGAGTTTAAATTGTGCTGACTCTCAGGTTCAGCTGATCTGTTGTCTGGACAGCCGGCAGCAGTAAACTGGTTTTGGAAAAAGGCATGGCTAAAGAGAGAGAGACCCCTGGAACAGATGAGTGTCAAGAGAAGTTTAAGGTGAAGTTTTAGACAGCACTGAATTATCATCATGTTAATACAGATTCCAGAGTTGTGGGAAGAAGAAAGTCTATGTAGTTATGTTCCTTATTATTACTAATTTGCAGTGGTATAAAATAGGGACTTCCTGTGCTTGCTGAAACTTTACCTTGGCCTTTCTTCTAATATTAAATGGTTTTAGCTGCTTTTTGATCTACGCAGTAATTTAGCTTGATTTAGGGTAATAGTTTAGCATTTAGAGTAGACATAGTTCATAATCTTTGGTTTAGTTTGAGGGGCATGAATGTTGCTAGTGTGTGGGATTCAGTAGATAAAACATGGAACTATATGTAGGAAACCAAGCAATGAGTGAGTTCATAATTTTTCTGGCAGAAGTGGTAAGGAACATTGTGATCTGATACAGGAAAAGCTCATTAAGGAGTGACACCATTGCGAAGGTCAGAGAAGGAGAGAATTAAATTCTGTGTCAGAAAATAGGAAACCAGTGGAAAAGATTTGAAAGGATGGATGATGTGCTGAAGATTAGCAGCGAGGAGAGATTTTAAGGATGTCGGTGTCCAATTCTGAAACGCTGTAGAATGGAGGTTTGAGGAAAGCTTGGGTGGAAATCCTTGCCACAATCAAAACAGGAGATGGAAGTGCAGAGTAGATATGATGGGGAAGGAATAAAAGTGTCCGCTGAAGGATTTGAGGAACAAATAAGAGGTGTTGTCATGACTAGTTGAAGGAGAGAAGGCAGAATGAATGGAGAATAGGGACCATTGCTATAGAAGTTTAGCTCCATAATGAGTTGATGGGTGGTCATGAACTGTAGGTAAGACATGCTTTTACAGTGGTGTGGTGTATAGTCTCCAGATTCTGTTCTAGCTACTGTGTAAATGTGTGATTTTGCATGCTTTAGAGAGCCCAGTTAGATCGTTACTGAATTTATGCTCATTAGAAGACTGTCTACAGTGCAGGTTTGCCACGGCTTGTGGCACAAACTCAGGATCACCCTTTGGTGGAAGTACCGCGTGTCCTTGTCCCTGGAAAGTCTGTAAAAGTTACGGAGGACCAGAACTTTCCTAGGGTGGTGGGCCCACTGTGGATCCCCACTTATTGCTGGGGGAGTCAGCAAGAAATAAAAGCAATGCTGCTTGTACTATTAAGCGAATCAGAACAGAAGGAAAATATCTGTAGTACATGTACTTACAGAACATATTTCAACAGAATGAGAATCTAAGGCAAAACGTGGTTGCTGCTTACCAAATCAGCTAGGAAGTTGTAATGTAATATTATTTTTGTATGGATGTGTAAATTTTCTTTGTCTTTGGGGGAGGAAGTGTGTTTATTACATAGTTACAAAAAATAACAAAATTCTTATTCTCTGAGGTTTTCATTGCTGAAACTTCACAACTGATATATTTACCTTCTGATTCACAGAGTCAAGGTTTTTGTCAGGCTATGAAGTAAAATCTATGGGTACTTTTTCTTAAAACTTGATTGTAAACAAGTTGCGTGAAGTGCTATGGTTACAATGATCTTGCTAAGCTTAACAGCCTTAACTGCACATGTAATGTATGATTTGCAAGTACTAACATATAACTTCTCATTCTTTTTATTCTGCACCATCTTTCATTCTTTTCTCCAAAATTACACATTTTGTATTAATCACCTTTGAATTACATTTTTGTCATTACCATACAATCCTAATGCCATATATGAAATGCTGCTGCCCCCTTTTTATCCCCACTCCGGTCCTTATACCACCATGGTTGGACTGGCTGTCACTCCCCTCCAGCAGAGCCATCCCTCAGTCTTCCTCCTATCTCCTTCAACACACTTACACAGGCACAAACATGGGACAACTTTAGCTACAGTATCCCATCTGAAGGAGAGAGTGACAATGGTAGGTGTTCTATATATAATTACCTTAATTTTGTGTTTTCAGAGACCCGAATATATGGCAAATGCCCCATGTGGTTAAGGATGAAAGTACTCTTCAGGGGATGTTTGTAAGACAAAACACCTCAGAGGATGCATGTTAATTTACTGTAGAATATGTAGTATCAAAAGTAAATGAGTGAAGAGTGTTACTGTTTTCAAGTCTGGCAAAACAACGTTTCCGATGATATCCACTCCAAGAACTATTTCCAATATAGGTTTATTTACTTGCTTTACTTTCAACTGTTTATAGAAGTTGTACACAAACAGCAGTTGATTTTGCTACTGTCTTTTCTGCATTTTTTTGTTTATTATTTTTTGATAGATACTGTTAATAAAAATATCCTGCTCCAATATGCAGGTGCATAACTAACTTAATTAGAAGAGGAATCCATGAAGAAACAAAGCTGAAACAATCAACTAAGCAAAAATAGTGATTTCTGTCCAACAGAAACTGTTAGTAAGCTGTCAAACTTCTCTGTGCATGGCATCATAAAATCATAGAATAATTTGGGTTGGAAAGG